AGCCTAAAAATGCTTGCGAAACGGCAGGTATAAGTAGAAGAGTAATATGAGAATGATATGATGAAGATGTGAATAATCTTTAGGAATAATAACTGCTTTTGAGATGTCAAGCAGTTCTGAAGGTCTCTGCTGTTCATCAAAAATTAGCATGTTATGTATAGGTTCTTTGGCAAGAAAAGTGACCATCAAAAGGCCACCTAAAACTGTTTCTTGTTTGTTTGGTGATGGTCAGATTAACAAGTCTTCAGAGGAAAGGTTGTGTGGCATGTGAACATAATTTGTTTTGGCTGACATTAGTAACAGTAACCATGATATGTGATAAAAGGGTGATTATGTGAAATTGAGTTGTACAGATGGGGAAAAATGATGCTGGTTTCACTGGAGAAGGCTTTATAACTTTGTTTCAGATCTGTGTTCTATCGCTCATACAAAGAGCAAGAGTCTAAAAAAGGGTATGACCAAGAGGAAGTTTTTGAAAAGCCTACACGCGAAACTTGCCAAGGTAAGATGTAGGAGTGCATGAAGACTTGAGCTTTTTAAATTAAATTTTTGTAGGCAGAGTTGTCAGTATTGTTGAACTGATCCAATCTTTATTTTGGGACATATAAAACAGCAGAAATGTTTGTATTAATAGCAAAATACATCAGTTGATATATTTGCATAAAATTATCTTTAGACATTTTAGCAGTAGTCTGAAGTTGCAAGCAGACTTGTAGAATTTCTACAAGATCAAAGTCAATATGTTGTAAAATTTGGGAGTCTACTTTTTCTTTTTTTCCCAAGGTATGAGACATGCTATCTATGACAAACTTGACGATGATGGTTTGATAGCACCTGGGGTACGTGTGTCTGGGGATGATGTCATCATTGGCAAAACAGTGACACTGCCAGAAAATGAAGATGAATTGGAAAGCACCAACAGACGTTTTACAAAGAGAGACTGTAGCACTTTTCTTCGAACTAGTGAGACTGGTATTGTAGATCAGGTCATGGTAACCCTTAACCAGGAAGGATACAAATTCTGCAAGATCAGGGTGAGCACTAACATATGTGCTTTATACTTTTAACCATTTTTGTTCTGTATTTAAGTTACCAATGGAATGTTTTTCTATGGCTTCCAGGTACGTTCTGTAAGAATCCCACAAATTGGAGATAAATTTGCCAGCAGACATGGGCAGAAAGGAACCTGTGGTATCCAGTACAGGCAAGAGGTAGTGATTTTTTTTTCTTTCCCCTCTTAACATTTAATTTCTGATCTTCCTAGCATTGGAATTGCCTTGAGTGAGTTGTCTGTGGAATATCTATTAGGGTGTAGTATACTGGCTTAAATTTAGCTAAAATGTTTGGAAAGGAACACAGCTGCTGCTTACACAGTACTTCAGTGCCTTTGAAATGCTTTAAAACATTTAATTTGAATCCACGGAACTGCTTTTCTTAAAATTGATATTCTGGACAGTACTGACTCTGTTTCCCTGCTATAGGATATGCCCTTCACATGTGAAGGCATCACACCTGATATAATTATCAATCCTCATGCCATCCCTTCCCGTATGACCATTGGTCACTTGATTGAGTGTCTTCAGGGGAAGGTAAGAAGAATCTTTTATGCTTCATGTCATGTCATGCCTGAGCAGTATGAATTAAAATGGTGGTTGTTTTGGGGGATGTTTTTCCCCCTTTTTTTTTTTTTTTTTTAGTAAAGATAGTATTCCCTGGTAGGTGTTAATAAAAAAGTAAGGATTGTTCTCCAGTTACTTGATGGCAAAAGCAGGTTCCTTGGGGAAGACCTACAGTCCTGTAAATTTTTTCCAACGAGTCAGACTACAGTGTACTCTCATCGGTTACTTTTATTCTGAACATTTCCGGTGACCTAGAAAAAGGAGTAGTGAAATTGTTGATATGGTGTATTTTTAAAAATCTCACTATAAATTGTGTAGCTGATAAACAAAGCAAGATAGGCTACTGTCATGGGCATGGAATCTCAAATTCTGGCATTAAGAGTTAAAACTGTTCAAAATAGCTTAATGTTTGACCAATCCTTCAGAAATCTGACAGGCATTTGTAAATCTCCTCTCTGTAGGTGTCTGCAAACAAGGGAGAAATTGGTGATGCTACACCTTTTAATGATGCTGTCAATGTGCAGAAGATTTCCAATCTTTTATCAGATTATGGCTATCATCTAAGAGGAAATGAGGTATAATCAAAATACCAATTCACTGTATTTTTAAAATATACATCTGAGGGATAATAAGGTTTATGATTTGATAATTGCATTGACTACTTCAGGTCCTCTACAACGGCTTCACTGGTCGAAAAATCACATCACAGATCTTCATTGGTCCTACATATTATCAGCGGTTGAAGCACATGGTAGATGACAAAATCCATTCTCGTGCAAGAGGGCCAATTCAGATCCTTAACAGACAGCCCATGGAAGGTAGATCTCGGTAAGGATGTTTATTATTTTCTATACAGTGTTTTCTTTTTCTTTGAAGTTTTTAGCCCTAAAAATTAGCTGCCTCAACTTTGCAGCTAGAATTTAATTAGCTCACCCCAATTAGCCACACATTTTCATGTGCTTGGCTTAAGATGATTTATTTGGTGCAGGTATCAAGGTTTTGGTAGCTGGGGCATTGCTGGGGTGGCCTCTCTGAGAAAAGGCCAGAGGTTGCCCTGTGCTGGACACAGGCACATACAGCTAGTGCAAACAGACCAGCCACTGGCCAAAGCTGAGCCCATCAGAGACACTGGTGGTGTCTCTATGAATACATATTTAAGAAAGGGTAAAAAATGCTGTGCAGCAGCTGTGAGAGAGGAGTGAGAAAATGCAAAAGGAACAGTCCTGCAGACACTCAGGTCAGAGAAGGAGGAGGAGGAGATGTTCCAGGTGCCAGAGCAGAGATGCCCCTGCAGCCCGTGGCGAGGCAGCCTGTGCCCCTGCAGCCCGTGGCGGACCATGTCAGAGCAGATGCCCACCTGCAGCCCATGGAAAGTCTATGCTGGAGCAGGCTCCTGGCAGGAGCTGTGGCCTGTGGGGAACTCTTGCTGCTGCAGCAATCTGTTCCTGAAGGGTTGTACCCCAGGGGAAGGACCCATGCAGTAGCAATTTGTGAAGGACCATCCCATGGAAGGGACCCCATGCTGCAGCAGGGAAAAAGCATGAGGAGGGAGTGGCAGAGAGTAACTGTTACGCACTGACTGCAACCTTCATTTCCCCTGTGACCATGGGGAAGGGAGGAAGGAATTGGAAATGGAGTGAAGTTGAGCCTGGGGAGAAGGTGTGTTGTTTTGTCTTTGTTTCTCACCATGCATTTTTAATGGGCGCTAATTAAATCAATTTTCCCCATGTTGAGTCTGTTTTGCCTGTCATGGTAATTGGTAAGCCATCTCCCTGTTTTTATCTCAACCCACAAGCTTTTCCATCTTATTTTCTCCCTGTCCTGTTGACATGGGGGAATGAGAAAGCTGCTGGGTGGGCATCTGGCAGCCAGGCAAGGTTAAACCCACCACAGATAAATAGAGGGTGATTTAATTGTTCACCTTGTTTTGCTACACAATTGTGTTGTGGCTGTTAGCTGTCCTGACATCTGCTTTAGAATGCTCAGCAAATGATTGTGTTAGCATTCTCCCCAACAGCTTTATTCTGAGGTGTTAAGAGGAAAATTAATGCATAGCTTTACTACTGCCTTGTAATACAGCTGTTGTCTTTCTGACAAGTTACTTGTTCTACCAAGAAGTGATGTATTTTGCCAATGAACTCAAAAGGGTGTTTTGTTTTGTTTTGTTTTGTTTTTTTTCTTTTTCTAGTGATGGTGGCCTTCGTTTTGGAGAAATGGAACGAGATTGTCAGATTGCTCATGGAGCAGCCCAGTTCTTGAGAGAGAGATTGTTTGAAGCTTCAGACCCGTACCAAGTCCATGTCTGTAACCTCTGTGGAATCATGGCGATCGCAAACACAAGGACTCACACCTATGAATGCCGGGGATGCCGTAATAAAACTCAGGTACGTGTGGTTTTCATCAGCCAGTGTTTCTCTTTGTGGGTAAAAGGAAATACCACTCGGGTGAACGGCAAGATAGGGAAGTAAATATTTAAAGAAGCATCAGAACAATTGCTATTTTAGTTTCATAACTGTTTTAAGTGTTTATAGTTTCCTAGTTAATTTGGATGTTTCCTTATTAATTATAAAGTGCTGACTTGTTACTTGGCAGGAAATGCTGTTCAAGTATTTTGCAGTGCAGAGTTTTCAGAGACTTTAAAAGTAAATGCTTGAGAGCTTGTTTTAGAAGTGAAACTCAGAATTTCAGGAATTTAGAGACATTGCCCTTGTGTCTGTCCCCAGGAAGGTACTTAATGCTTGTGGAGCTGGGTCCCCATGGGAGGCCTTTTGTTTTACTCTCTTTAATAAATAAAAAAGCTCTGTAGTGTGTGCTTGGTTACAGAACTATGTCAAGGGAGAGTGGCAGCAGAGATAAAAATAGTTGCCTTAAACAGGCTTGTACTTGTGCTAGGGACTGACTGCTGCAACTCAAACAATGTCACTGGGGTTACTAAAGATGTGTGCTGGAAATCTTAACTGCATTTACTGCACATCAGGCACACTTTGCTATGCACACGTCTCTTGTTAAAAGGCTCTTGCTAAAGATCAGATCCCTTGGCTGTGGGGTTTTATCATTAAAAATGTATTCTGGATGGCTGCTGTGTAGCCTCTACAGTCTTGGCTTCCCTCTTGCTTTGTTACTCTCTGTGAGCAATTCTTGTGAAATGCTTTCATGCTTAACTTAAGATTCAGTTTTGAGCCAAAAACTTAAGTTATTTGTGTAGAGGTGGTGGAAGTTGATGCTTTAGAAGTGCTTATCACAAATTTTTTGAAATCTTTTTCCAGATATCTTTGGTTCGAATGCCCTATGCCTGCAAACTCCTCTTCCAAGAACTGATGTCTATGAGTATTGCACCTCGTATGATGAGTGTTTAGCCTTTAAAAAGGGTGGGGTTTTTAAAAATGATGAGACTGAAGTGCTCAGGTTTTGTTTAATTTTGTGTAGGTTGCATTTAAAATAGTTCTACTCCTCTGCTATGTGCGCTTCAACAGTATGTTTATTTCCTGTAAATAGAATTAAAATTTGTAATCAAACTTGTGAATCTCTTTATTTGTGCATCTGTGAAAGTAGTGTGCAAGCAAATTGGTAATCAAAGAATGCGGGAGTTAAGAGGGAATGATTAGTGAGCTAGAAAAAGCCAGAGGTTGCAGCTTTCCAAAATAATACTTTAAAACTGCGAATTGAAGGTCCTCACATCACAGCTCTGCACCGTCATCTGTGGAAAAACAAAACCATGTTACGCTCTGTGTTGTTCCAAGGGCTAATATCACAACTTGAACAGTAGCACAGTGAGTTTTGTGATGTTTTAGCTGATGGTGAGACCTGACAACTCGATCCTGACCCTCCTTCCTTCCCTACTGCAGGACTATGGCAGCAGGGGCATGGTAATAAATGGCATTTTTCTGTGCTGAGGTTAACTGGACATGGGACACAGAATCCCTAACTACCTAGTGTGTAGTTGTGGAGTAACCTGTTACGTCTGACAGTTTGTGCCATTAACGTTACTGATTTCCTTTAAGTAACTGTGGCTTGCCAGCTTGTTGCTGAACTATGGCATGTTTACTTGAGAAATTTCCTACAGCTGAAAAGGAACAGCTGTAAGAAATGAACCATGAGGCAATACACATGGTAGTACAACCTTGCAGTAGTTACTGTGAGAGGGGGAGTGAACATCTGTTCTGGGGTATAAATGTGCTGCTCATGGTACAACTCAGTAAAACATTTCATTCATGTCCATAAATAAGATGTTTGAAAAGGGATTAGAGACTAGCTAAAAACCTTTAGCAAGGCTTGTCTGGGTAGGTGTTATGGGAATTCATTTTATTGTTAATATTCTCCTACAGGAAGTATTTCAGCTATTCAGGGATATAAGGATACAGAAAGTCAAGACTATATGATTCAGATAAAGCTATTGGGATTAAAACTAAGGATGATGTCAAAAAGTGGATTTGGGCAGCTCAATATTCTCTAGCTGGATGCTTTGTTCCTGGTACCTCAGCCTCTAGCATGGTTACAGTTATGCTTCCAGCTCTCTGGCTTTATTCTGAAGTTTATTCTCTGCAGCTGGAATGAGGGTGGTTTGTCTGCCATCAGCTTTGCACGCAGCCTAGCAAAGAGGACCTGGGTTTGAAAACTGGCTGAGGGCTGGAGGTTAAAGGTCTCAGGTCTTGACTAAGGCCTGCTGAGGCATATCTGTCCCCTTTTGGCTTTGACACTCCAGCATGCAGAGAGAACAGCAGAGACTAGGCTGTTTCTAGGATGGGGAAAAGTAAAAAGGTACAAGAGCTTGGCAGGAATTTAAGTGCTTGAAGTTCTCTCTCAGTCTTGGGATTGGTTGTGCCAATACTGCTTCTAGGAGAAATGGGCAGGTTTGGAAGTGTCCCGAGAACAGTGAAAGAAGGATACAAATTTAGGGCTGGAAAACCACTGGAAGTTGCTTTGTAAAAGCCCAAAAGGTGTTTTTGATTTGGTATCTTAATCTCCAGTGCTTTACACCACTTGGGGGGTTATTTAACAATTCCTTGAGAACTCTAGCAGCTGAGCTTTGCTGGGAATCATAGATTCATAGAGTAGTTTGGGTAGAAAGGGACCTTTAAAGGTCATCAACTCCCCTGCAATGAGCAGGGACATCTTTAAATCAGGTTGTTCAGAGCCCCATCCAACCTGACCTTGAATGTTTCCAGGGATTTGGGCATCTACCACCTCCCCAGGCAACCTGTTCCAGTGTTTTATCACCCTCACAGTGAAGAATTTCTTCCTTATATGTAGCCTGAATCTATCCTCTTTTAGTTTAAAGCCATTCCCCCTTGTCTTATTACAACAGACCCTGCTAAAACGTTTATCCCCATCTTTCCTGCAGGCCCCCTTTAAGTACTGGAAGGCTGCTGTAAGGTCTCCCCAGAGCCTTCTCTTCCCTAGGCTGAACAACCCCAACTCTCTCAAGTGTCCTCATAGATCACCTCATAGAGCACCTGTCCTCACAGGGGAGGTGCTCCAGCCCCCTGATCATCTTTGTGGCCTCCTCTGGACCCACTCAAGCAGGTCCATGTCCTCCTTATGTTGGGGGCCCCAGAGCTGGACACAGTACTGCAGGTGAGGTGTCAGGAGAACAGTGGGGGAGAATCCCCTCCTTTGACCTGCTGGCCACACTTCTCTTGATGCAGCCCAGGATACTGTTGGCTTTTTGGACTGTGAGTGCACATTGCTGGCTCATAGTCAGTTTTCCATCCACTAACACCCTCAAGTCCTTCTACGCAGGGCTGCTTGATCCCTTCATCGCCCAGCCAATATTTGTGCTTGGGATTGCCTTGACCTATGTGCAGGACCTTGCACTTGGCCTTTTTGAACCTCATGAGGTTTACACAGATCCACTTCTCAAACCTGTTTTGCAAACTCAGTAAAAGCTGTGTATTAAACTGGTATTTCTAGTATGATTTTTTTTTTTTGAAAGGGTTAAACAGAGGTGGTCCTTACCTATCAAATAACTGAGTAAACTGCTAGGAGAAAGAGCTGCCAAGTGTTTAACCACACTACCTACCTTTGGTCAGGGCTATTTCATGCAGAGTTTCCACAACATGAATTTTTGCCGAAGCTGTTGCCTCTCCTTTGGCATTTGATGCATGACACTCATATTCTCCAGCATCCTCTTTGCTCAGAGGAGATATCTAGAGGAAGAAACACATCCCCAAGTAAGTGTCCTGTGCATAGGTAGAGGTGATTCTGTTTTAAGGTATTTTATATAACTTGTTAATTATTTGAGACATTATGAACAGAGTGCATGAAGTAGCAGTTAACCCTTAGGGAACCACACTAACTGCATGATTTCTTCTGTCTGCTCTAAACAGTCTGGTTCAGATTGTGGTGGCTCTCTGCAGTGAGGTTTGGGACAAGCACACACTCCTGTGGATCACTCTAGCTTTATATTCTGCTATGACAGATTATGTAGGCTGTAATACTCCCTCCTTGTCTTTTATTGTTTACTTAATTTAGAGATGTGTCAGAGCACTGCATGCTTGGTAAAGGGAGGGAGGCAGGAAGAAAAAGCCTTCCTACAACATGCTGCATCCAGTCATGCAGTTCAGCAAAATCATTGGCTCAAACCCTTCCCTCTCCTTTTTTCCACCTCTGCTTTTGCAAATAGTGTGGGAACCAATACCCAAAGCTCTGCTCCCCTGCTGCCAGCTTCTCTGCAGCTGGGAGCCATCATACTTGAAATTCCCTTACTGGGATGCACAGCAGGTCCCTCTGATGTGTGGCAATCGCTGGTTAGCCTCAGGTACTCCTGTAGCTCAGGAGGTCTTTGGAGTGAGAGCTGATGGCTTCTGTGCTGTGCTACTCAGGCAGGTGATGTGCTTCACTGAAGAAAGGGCAGTTCTGCCAGATCTATAAGGGCTCCTCAGCTGTGGGTGGGTCTTAGGGATGCTTTGCCTCTGGATGGATTCCTTCCTAGACATGATGAGGGTCTCTTTCCTGCTAATGGCAGCAGAAAAGTCATGATATACAGAAAGGAAATCTTCTATTTAAGTGTAGCCCTCTCTGATCATAGAATGCATGCTTCTGCTGCATGTTAGACAGAGGTGGAAAACTGCAATGGAGGTAGCAGCCACCCTTACCCTTCGTGTCTGATTCACACAGGTTGTTTTCCTCTAAATGCCCTGTCTGTTGCCATGTGTCTTCTGTACCATTCTTTGTTCATGAGCTGTTTGCAGACTGCACTGTACTGTTTGTATACTCTGTGCATGTACAAAGTACTTACGAGCACCCAGCCAGTCACTTCATGTTTCTCAGGACCCCCTCGGGTCTGGATAGCCAAATTCTCCCGGTCCCCAGGCAGAAGCTCCATCCTCTGGACACCATACTGTCCCCGAATTATCTAAACAGAAGGGCAGAAAGGGGTAAGAATTTGGGGGGTTATTTATGCTAGAACTGTTAGGACCATACCTGCACACAGACAAGATCAACACTAGTTTTACATGAATGCATTCTGTGCAGTAGCAGTGTTTTTTTCTAGTGCCAGCATTTCACCTTATCCCCTGTGTACTGCAGTCCCACTACCCCAATGCCTCAGCATATGCACTGAGGCTGCCTTCCCCTTGCCCCAGCAGGAACAGAGCAGCACAGCTTTCTGGTGGGGATGGTGCTGGGCAGTGGAGTGTGCAAACATGCCCTGCACAGAATGTGGTCTCACAGAACTCATGCGCATGTTCCCAAGGATGTGTTTAGCCCACCAAATGACACCTGTGCTGAACAAGGAGGATTAGGCTGCTTACAGCTGCTGGTAGCCATACATCGATCCTGTTCAGCAGGCTGGAGCAGCTGCCTTCTGGCTGGAGACTGGGGGGACAACAGGAGCTGACTGTTGTCCTTGTTTGGAGAGGCTCCTCTTTAACTTTCCTGGCGATTGGGCTTTTTTAGCATGGCAGTGGCAGAGAACCAAGTGTCTGCATGTTGCTCCTGGAATGGGCTCTCCCTGCATGACCTATCCTATTCCCAACAGGCCAGGAACAGCCCCGTAGGTTTCTGCTGCAGCAAACCAGGCAGCCCCTCCTGGTGGGCACAGCATCAGTGAGAGAGCAGCAGCACAGTCATTCCCCAGTGCTGCGTATCCAAGTCCAAAGCACAGCATGGGATAAGTGCTGCTCAGCCCTTGTTACCACCAAGTCAAGCAGTCTCTGGCCATGAGGTAGAGGCACGAAAAGCAGAGCAGCACCAACAATCAGTGTAAACACAGCATCTGCTTGTAAACAAGCTGAAAATGCTGCCTAGGTCAACATGCCTACATTGTATGCTCATCCGACAGTCTGCTCCGGGACCTCTAGGAATAAAGTTTGCTGTCTCACAACAGAGCAATCTTTGAAGAGGCTGCAGGGGCCATGCAGTGGCTCTCAGCCCTATGGCTAAGATCCTCTCTGCTCAACACTGGCCCCTGCCCAAAGCCAGCTGTTACCAGCATGCTGCCAAAATCATCACGCTTCCAACTACCAGAGGTAACTGCCCCATGCAGTTCCTGTTCCTGACATGGGCAAGTTGTGTGCAGCCACCTCAGAGTCACTGCTGCCAGTGGAGTAACAGCAGGCCAGGGGAACTGAATTCCCTGCATGCTCTGAATACCAGACATTACCAAGAGAAACATGAGTCCTGTTCTGTCTTGGGATCAACAAGAGTTTAGAAAAAGCAATGACTAAAGACTAAGCAAAGCCAGATGTTTGGGGGTGGACAGAACTGCGCAGATGGAAGAACTCATCAAAGATGTGTGTTTCAAAGGAGGAATCTGCTATGGCCTTTATGCTTACCAGGCACCTTCAGCTGCCTCAGGTTTGCTATGCTCTAAGAGCTCCTAGCAGGGCCCTTACCTTGTTCCAGATGAGGACAGGGGTTGGGATGCCCATGACTTCACAGCTCAGGTAGATCTGTGCTCCTGTCACATTCCAGATGTCCTTAGGAGGAGTCACAATGGAAGGTCCTGCAAAAAGGGAGAAACGTTTTTAAGCACTGGGTGACTGCAAGCCTGTGTCCTTGCTAGCCTTTTAAGTAGGGCCAATCACTTCTGATGGGTTTTGAGGATGAGATGAAGCGGGTCCCTGCTTGAAGCAAAGCTTGCTGGACTGATCCCACATCACAGCACTTCCCTTTCCAAAGCTACACAATGCACTATGTGCATTGTTGACACTCAGCTGGCATGGAGGAAAGGACCCTGCAGGAGACAGGGTGGGTCCCGCTCACTCTCTCATTCCACAGAGAACTTGGCCAGCTTTGCAGCATCCTTTGTCCTGGCATGATTTTAACCTGCAGCAAAGCCTGTGGCAGCTGGCTAGCAGAATTCTATGTTATGCTGCTCCTGTTTCACCTGTGTGCAATACTCAGCCAAAGGAGGCTGGACTGAGGGTGCTAGAGCTCTTCCTGGGGGGGGAATCTGGGGAGGGACCAGGTGAATGCAGAGCTCCATTTTAACCCAGAGACCTTCAATCTCTGGTTAAACAGGGAGTTGTTCCCAAAGCCAGATGGGAACAAAGCTGGTTTGTAGATCTGGCTGGAGATGTTTACCCCTTGGGCTGGGAAATGTTGGAGATGTAACGCATATCCCAGGAAGGGAAGAATGGCCTCTTCTGTTCAGTCCCTCTGTAGTGGAGCTGTTTTGCAAAATGCAGCTATTAATTCCCCACGATAGGAAGTGCAGACCAAAGGAGCACATAGTGTTTATTTCCACTTATTGATAGCTTGAAGAACACAACAGCTTTTCCATTTCTGCTCTGAAGATGCAGGCAGTAACAGGAAACTGAAGCTCCCATTAGGCTCCACCAGGAGAAGGCATTTCCTATGGGAACAAGTACTCCAGAGCCAGCCTGGCTGAAGCCCCCAGGTATGCTGGCTCACAGAGCATGGCTCATTCCTAGCCCCATAAAAGAGGAGCAGATTTGGGTCCTGATGCTCTTTCTGGGGTTCTGAACATGCACTGACCTCAGCCTTGCATGTGCACTCTGCCCTGCAGCCATGGGGAGCCGACTTTAGGTGCATCCCACCGCACCATCTTCCAGCAGAAAGCTGGTGCCTTTTTTCCTCTTCTGGATCTGGTGGCAGGTCCACACTCTCATCACCAGCCAGAAGACACCAGCCATCCCTCAGTCTTAGCCCAAGGGATGCCAAGGTGTCCTGAGCAGCTGGTGTGATCCCAGAGAAGTGTTTGCTCTTCTGAGACTTCCCTGTCTGGGAATGACTGTACACAGCCTGCTAGTGGGAAGCTGCTAAGAGACCAGATAGAGCTGCAATCCAAATTCTCCATTACAGAGGTATCCCAGTCCTGGTTTTAACAGAAGGTAGCTGTGTAGAAGCAGGAAAGGTTTATGTGTAGCCCCAGGCAATGGTTAAAACCACGCCTAATGATCAGTATGGGCTGGTTTCCTGGCAGACATCACAACCCAGGTGCTCCTCATCTGCACAGAACTGAGTCTCAGTTGAGAAAAGGATTTAAGCAGCATTTCATTACATGGCTTACCCTGTCATTGGTTGTGCTGCTGCATGAATTGATTCCTGTGTGCTGGCCAGGAGAGGGGTGTGTCAAGAGTGACAGCACCCGTTCTTGTCTGGAAGGATGCTTGGAGTTATCCTTGCTCCAGGTGGCCCAGAGCAGATTCATACTTCCAGACCGTGCCCAGCCCTGCACTCTCAGCAACATTCTGCTGGAGGGGTGTACTCTCCCAAGTACAATCGTAGCATAGTACAGTGGGGTGATCCGTGAGTCTTAACACCCCCCATGCCCTCCTGCATGGAGGACATGGAGGACAAAGCACTGCCTGGCCCGTGGCCAGCCCAGGGTATTGCCATCTCCACAATGGGGCCACCTCAGGTCGTGCACTCTGCTCCCCTTCCCCAGCACAGCCCTTTCCTGTGCAGCTCTGCTGTTCTTTTTCTGGTGTCCCTTGAACAATAGGGCACTTGGCAGCTCTGGTGGGACCCGGATGTCCCCAGCCGGCTTAGCTCACCCCATGCTCTGCAAGGACCTCCAGCAGATGTGCACCCACCATAGCCTGCTGCGGCTGCTGCCATCTGCTCCTGCCATGCAAAACCCTCCGCATGCAAGGTGCCCTTCCTAGGGCAGAGCCTGGGGCCTGTCCCCAAGAGGCAGGGCTGTGTTTGCTCCTGTATGTTGCTGGGGTTCTCCATGAGGCAGGAGAAACACACCTACCTGCAAATGACCATCATCTCCCACTGCAGCAAAGGAGAGATTCTGATTCTTGTGTTAAAAGCCAGGCAAATTTTAAGACAAGGTCTTGCTCTTCCAGGATCTGGCTCAATTCTTCCCTGGCTGGGAACTGACAGCATTCAAAGCACCGCTAAATCCACTGCCTGAGGTGTCTCAGTCTTGGCTGCCACTGAGTTTGCTCCTGTATCAAGGGCCTGGACACCTTCTGCCCGTGGATATTTGCTCGCCCTGGCAGGAGCAGGTCACACCAGTATTCTGGCAGGGAAAAAGAGAGAGGGGATTTCTACCCACCTCCTGGGTGAGGACAAATTGTTTATCTTTGCCAGATAGGGGAACTGCCTGTACAGCTTCACAGCGACTCTCCGGCTGCTTGGCACAGCAGTCACAACACAGTGAGAGCCTGGCTGTTACAAGGCAGCCCCGAGCCCAAGCTCGGGACATGGATGTACATCCTGATCTAACATGAGACTCTGCCTTTGGCTGCAGAATGAACTGGGAACATTCACAGGCCTTTGCCTCTATCCGGCACAGCCCTGGGGCCGGGAGAGAATACACATCCTGAGAGATGCAACAGTGTCATGGGAAGAGTCAGTGTGGTCTCTTGGGATATTTGACTTAAATCCAGACAACCAAAACTCTACAGCTGGGCTTCTTCATCCACTAAAAATAAATGAGAAAGGCTGAGAAGTCAGCAGATTTAAAGTCAAATCACAACAGGCCACAGCAGTAGCTAGACTCCCACCACAGCGAGCTGACACCCGGGTACATGGCAGCCACCCTGCTTACTGCCTAGGTTGGTCCCACTCATGTTCTCTCTCACAGTCCCCCAAAGCAGCCAGAGACGGACAGGGAACGCAGCAACCTGACACGACAGGAGAGGCTGGGGATGCCTAAGCCTTACAGGTACTTCAGAGGATGTGAGGACATTCTCTCTTGCAAGTCACCCCTCTTGCTTTGGGGATCCTTGTGAAGGGAGCAAGGCCACCATGTGCTCGGCAGGACTGGAAACAAGCTCACCTTGTACAGAGCAGATGACTTGATTCCTGCCAGCAGGGAGCCCCCTGGCCTTTATCTTATAGCCTGCATCTTAGAGGCATTGCTGCTCTACCTGCAGCACTGCCCACAAAGGGGAATGTTTCTCCATCTGCTTCCTTCGGGCTGGGGACTTGTGGGTTGCACCTGCTGATGACAACAGTCACCACCATCAGCGTGGCTGTGTGGCCTCTGCTCCCCAGCAAGGCCAGGGGCACGGTGGATGTAGAGGATGCTCCCTGCCTGTACTTGCCCTGATCACGCAGGAGCTCTTGGCCAAGAGGACAGCACAGGCTGTTCATGGAGATCAGCTGCTGTCCGCAGGCACTTCAAGCATTTCCTCCCTGCTCTGTCCATTGTTCGTAAAACAAATAGCTCTTCGTGGCTTGGGAAGGGGCTTATTTACAGAGCCAGTGAGCTCAAGCACCCTGGCAGAGGAGTCTGAAAGTGCAGGGACTGTTTTTACTGCAGATCACAGGGAGCTGACAGCCTGTGTTATGTCAAAAGCAGCAGCTGGAGAGGAGTTCCTCTTGCTGTTATGTAGTTGCTTTTCTGCTGCAGCAGCATGTGGCAGAGCCTGTGACTTCCTCGATGAGGTTATCATTTGGCATCTGTTCCCAACACTCCTCCCACGCCGTGCACCTCTGTTCAGCAACAGCAGGCAGAGATCTGGCATCTCCCAGACCACCCATCTGCCCCTCACTGGTACATGGATGGAGAATCAGGGTTAGGTGGTCCTTGCTGATCTTCCTTTGCTGTCCACAAACACACACACACAAATAAGTCACACCCCAGCGAGCAGAGCAATAACTTTTTTGCTAAAATCCAGGAGGCTATAGGTATGTCACTTAAAGGCAAAACTAAGTTCGACTTAAGCACTGTGGGGTATGCCCCGGTGCTTGGGTGTGCATGAGAAGTCCCAACCAGAACACACGAAGCTGTGTACCACCCGTTGAAGCTCACATGGGTGCCAGCCCAATTCCCAGCCAGCCCTCCTGAGCGCTGCCTCGCCATGCCACAGCCCCGGGTGAGACACAGACTGGGAACACACCCCACAAGACAGCAAGTCAAAGAAAAAGCTAGACATTGTACACCCTCACAAGCTCTAGCAAGTCTGAAAATAGACCCACTCCAGTCTCCTAAGTTGCTGGGAAAGTATTTTCCCTTCCAAATGACTTTATATGGAGAAGGGGAAACCTTCCATAAGCAGCATCTACTCATTCTAGCTGGCATGGCCTCAGTTGCTCCCTCCCACGTCAGTGCTTCATGAGAGGCAGCAGCAGACAAGAAGTGCAAGCGGCTTCTGGCCTTCCCCATTCCCAAAGCTGCTTGCTGCTTTCTGGCAGATTTACAAGCCTCTTTCTTTACCTCTTTCTGAAGGCATTTCTCCCTCTCCTTTAACTTGGCCTTAAAGAGACTAAGGAGTTAGAGAAGAAAGTTCCAAGGCATCCAGACCAAAGGAGATGCTGGATGCTACACCTGCTCGTATGGTCCTCCTCAGACTTCAGCAGCCCAGTGCCCTGGAAAGGCTGCAAATGTGAATGCAGCTTTGCCCCAAGCCCTCAAGACTTGAGACTGAGTCAGTGTGAAGCAGGGCCCATGCCACCATCTATCTGCCATGGATTTCCTCCTGCTTCCCACCCCACCTGGCTCAGCGTGGAACAGACCGATACAACTGGAAATCCCATCCCTGCTGTTTTACCATGGTTCAGGAACGCTGCCTTCTGACACCTTGTGTGTGACTTTCATATGGTCCTTCATGGGGTTTAGTATGGGCTAGGAGGGAGAACAGGGTGGCCCTGCAAAGAACAGTACCTCAAGCCTTTCTCCCTTACGTAGCACACAGGATGGGTCTGTGCTGGCCCCAGCGCTGTGCCCAGGGAAGAGGCTGTGCCTCTGCACGCCTTGTGCCTAGCTCAGCGCTCAGCTGCATCCAGCAGCGTCCTCAACACAAGTTGAATCTCAAAGCTGGGGCAATGGGAAGGCCAGTATGGCTGAGGCTGCTCTGAAGCTCAACTGCCATCTTATAACTACACTTGCCCCTGGAAGCAGTCAAATGGGGAAAGGGCAAGCCCTCTGAGCAGAAATGACATTGCCCTTGCTAGTGGACTGCCAAAACCTCTGTTCTGCCTTCCCCCCCGTCCTGCCCTTTTCTCCCACCTCCCCTTCCTTTTGCCAGTCTCTGAAGTATACTCTGAAGGATGCTCTCCCCAGGGTCAAACAGGCAGTGACTTTTTGTAAACACGCTTTCTGCTTCCCAGACATATCTGGATGAGTATTTGGGGTTTTTTGTTTCGGACCGCCCAGACAAGCTCTATCAAGAAACTTCTCTCCTTCCGGCCAGCACCTACCCTCTTCTCTTCGTGTGACCTTGGCTCATTTTCACTAAGAAAACGGTCATTACAGCACAAGGACAACCACAAGCTAAAGCCTGGAAAGAATGTGAAAAGCTTACAGTGGGAAACAGAGAAACAAGGCATGGCAGCGTTTATGCATGGTAAAGCAAGCAGGGCTTTCAAAAGTCCAACCTGATTAGACTTTTTATGTGGTAATCTCCTATTTAATATGAACCTCAATCAACCTCAGCCCAACAAAGGATTAAACACATTTTTTTAAACACGGCGTGCCTTTCCAACAACAGAAAAAAACATGGGGAGGAATTTGCTGACCTGTAATCATTCCTTCCTAGTGATTTTGGATATGCTGTGATGATTGAGAATGAAGACACAGGTGAAATATGGGATCCTCACAGGCACTGGAGGTGTTTGCATAGTCCCCGGCATACTAGTGCTCTCCAAGACTCTGAGCCTGGTAATATATTAAACAGCTTCCCTAATAAGATTTTAGCACAGTAACCATAAAAACTCAAGCTCCAATGAACCA